TGCATGGACCACAACCAGACGGTTTAGAGGGTCATAGAAGTCTGCCGAGAGTGCCGACAGCCTCTTGTCCTGACCTTCGCCGACTACGAGAAAGTCTTTGACAGTCGTCGAAACCAACGCCATCTGTCCGCCCTAATTGATCAAGGAGTGGATCCTGCTCGCGTGAGCACCTTAGCCGACTGCTATAAAGACTGTACAACGACGATGCAGTTATTCCATCGCCCCTGATGGAAGGCGATCAACAAGGCAATATGATCTCGCCAAAGCTGTTCACCGCGGCCTTGCATTGGGTGATGAAGTCGCTGGACTGGAACGAGAGAGGCATACGAGTTGATGGAAGATTCCTGTGGAACCTTCGTTTTGCGAACGACATCGCCCTTTTTTCGAGCGGTATCACTGAAACGGAAACGATGCCGAAGGAACTAAAGAAGTAGGAAAGAAGATCGAATTGCGAATAAATCGCAAAAAGACTCAGCTCATGAGGAACGCCCTTTGCGAAGGTGAAGGGAATTGGAAGGAACCCCTATTATGGAGACATCTTCTTACGTGTATCTCGAACGTTCGATGAACATGGGTAACGACTTGAGGGAAGAATTTAACAGGAAAAGAAAAGCAGCCTGGGCCGCTTTTCTCTAAAAGAAGCCACCAACCAACTGGCGGACCCGGAGCTTCGTGCCCACCTGTTCGACTAAACCGTTCTCCCCATCAAGTGACGGATTCGGAGATTCGTGCCCACCTGTTCGACTCAATCATTCTCCCGGCGTTTTTTAGCAGCTGAGGCTTGGGCCGACACTCCAGCCACGTCGAAAGCTTTACGACCACCCACAGAGCGCTTGAGCGCAATCTTCTGAATATGTCCCGACGAAAGCAACATCTAGTCGGACTTCGCAGTACGGATTTGAAAAGAATGTCCCGTCTTCGTGACCCAGCAAAACACTTGCGAAAGCGGAACAGGGCCGGTCACATCATAAAATAGCAGACGACAGATGGACACTGAATAAGAGAAAAAAATTTTTGAACACTCCGTCCCGTTTTTTCCCTTCGTTTCAAAACCATCAGTGGATTACTCGCGCAGCGAAACGTCCCCGAGGGGAAGGCATTCAGCGAGACGAGCAGACTTGTTCGTGGGAAGGATGTACCAACTGAGAAGTCAGCTGGATACGATTTATGCCCCGGAACTCGTGGTGCAGCTACCAACGACAACTGAAAAGATCGTGGAAGTCCGAAGCTAGGGCCAGGAATCAATGGAAACTTCTGTACTGGGGCCCGTACGTCACGTAAAGACGGGCCATTTGAGTAAGTAAATGTGTTTTTTCTTCTGATAAAGCACTTGCATGCCGTTTCGTACTTGCTTTCATCTATCGAATGATATTACCCTAATCGAAAACAGGAAGTGATTATAGGGCGTAGGGCTTATTGTGGTGAAAGTCAAAGAGTGGCAAGACATGTAACGACCTAATACAGTAACGACGCTGGAAACCTATCCTAAGAATCACGCAAATTTATTCTGAGGTGACTGAAACTGTCTGAAAAATTATTATTCCGTGTGTAGGCCAACGCATTGATCAAAACGACTTTTAAGTTCATTGATTTTAGCAGGAGAAAAATCTAGAAGTTTTAAAAAGGTTGTTTTGAAGGCTGGTCGCAGCCATAAAGCCACCTACTTTTTCCAAGAACTACCAAATTTTCTGATTCTGAACTTTATACTGTTACAGCATCAAAATATGTAACATTTATTGAACCTGGAAGCTGTCGTCATTCCAACAGAAAGGTTGCACTGAATGTTTTGATTCAAGATGCAAAAACAGTCAAACTCTTTCAAAAAAAACTGCTGATTCACATAATTTCCAAGCATTTATTCAACTCTGATGGAAGTGTTGAGGTTCGCTGAGCTTTTTGATTGATGCGGCAAATGACGCTTTAGTCATCTTTGCGTAGTTATTGCTCTTTCGAATAATCCTTAACCTTACCATGATGTGGAAGCGCTTTTAGCCACACAACTCGATTTCTGACGCCAAACTTTGATTCGGAAGTTGACGCTTTGTTTTCATGACGACTTATTAATTGCAGAAATCGTCAGAATTTCTGCAGAGTTACAATAACAACATTGGAACCAAAACGCTTTTCATCTGTAGTTTATTTGTGCGCAGTGAAGCTATAACTCCAAATTTTCATTTTTTTGAGTCAATCTTTTGTATGAAACTGTCAGGGATACTAGAAATCCAAAGTTTTAAGCGGTTTCGATCCGATCGAGTGGCAGAGTGGGTCATGATCATGGGAGTGCATCACCCATTCTTGCTGAAGAGCATTCAGGACTGAAACAAAGATTTTAGAGTAGCAATGATGTTCCGGCAATGCACACAGTTAACCATTGCACGGACGAAATGCTGGACATATCACAGAGCTTGAGCGTCAGACATCAATTTTTGTGTTCCGGAGGCTCGACTACTTGAGAATAAGGTTGCGGCTCTTGTCTGCATCGGCGATTCTGTAAAGCTTACTTACTACTTAAGCGGTCCACCTATTCATAGCAAAGGCTTAGCGAAATCTAAGATTTCCATTCAATAAAAGAAATCGCTTTATATCCTACAAACCGCAATTTTTTAGTCAACTCTTAACGCATTTCATCTTATATATAAAGCTGAATGTTCTGTTTGTCTGTCTGTATGTCTGTCTGTCTGTATGTCTGTCTGTCTGTACGTATGTTCCGGATAGAAAATTCCATTTCTGAACCGATCGGGACCAAACTTGGCACACATACACTTCGGGCCCCGGCGGGTGTCATAGGCTACTTTTCGTCATCGATTGATATTGATTTTATCGATTTTTTGCAAAATTTGAGCTACAGGGCTGGGAGTTGGCACAGGGGGAGGGTGTAATCGAGCATGCTCGATTACACCCTCCGGCCAAATTCCAGCCCACTAGCTCAAATTTTGCAAAAAAATCGATAAAATCGACATCGATCGATAACGAAAATTGGACTGTGGCACCCGCCGGGGCCCGAAGTGTATGTGTGCCAAGTTTGGTCCGGATCGGTTAATAAATGGAATTTTTCATTCGGAACATACGGCGGAGCCGGGTAAGCCAGCTAGTAGCAAAATAAAATGAGGTACACTTTTTCTCTACAGAAGGCAGAAACTTCTAGGTGTACCAATTGTTCCAAGCTTTGATGCTGTACAAAAGATTAGATTAGATTACAAAAGATTAGTAGTTGTACAAAAGATTTAAGATTGAAGGAATGTAGCGGCGTCAAGCTTCTTCAAGTTTCTTATTTTTCCTGTCAAAATCAATGAAATTTGGAGCCATATTGGTCAGTGCGTTGATCTACAAAAATAATAGCTTCTCAAGCAGTACAGGCACAATAGAGCGCAAACCTTGCGCGATTTTTAAGGTGACTTTATAGCTATAACCAGCACTATGCGTGGATCCATAGTATGTAGCTGGAGGCCTCATTGCTTGCCTGTGTGTAAGCTCGCTTGTTCCAGAACACAGGGATAGCTTAACCTAGGCATGTTCACATGAAAAAGCTAAATAGTGAACCCAGTCTTGGAAGATAGATTGTTCAAAAAGTAAAATTCAACGTGTTCATGGATTTGCGTTGGCTTAATGTTAACGGCAGTAATGATATCCACGTCAATTTCGAAATCAGGCGTTCTACTTGAGCTCAATTCATATGGTTTTCGCCAAAAAAGCGATAAAATCATCCTGCAAAAAACAGCTTCTAGATAAGTTGATCAGTGATTTGCAGCGGTATGGTTTCATATGGTTTGTTTTTATTCCGTCTCCTTTGCATGGCAGTAAACAAATACATAAATTTGCGTGTAATATGAGCATTCAATAGACTTAGCAGGAAATGATCAGAACAAGAGCCCAGCAGGATCGTTGGAAGCAGGCTGGACTCCGTTTTCGGGACGAAAAAGCAAAGGGAATATCGTTTTTGTGTCCGAAAACACAAAAACTAGTTTTTTAGCCGACGTTTCCGATTTTCGGTCAAAGGGGACGTCAAAGGGGAAGTTTGGAGTAATTCGTTAAAAAGCCTAAAAGCGGACTCGTGCCGGGCCCTGGACAGGACTCAATCAAGCCATTCTAAACAAGCTATATATCCTCGAACTCGCCTTAAAACGCTGATCTCAAATATCTTTATCTTTATATGTAAATGTATGTTTCTTATCTGTCGAATTATCTGAAAGGAGTTACGAGCGAATGTTCGATTTGTGGCAATTATTAGCAATTGTAGCACATAATTATTAGCAATTATTAGCAATTGTAGCACATAATTCACGAAAAATGTTTAAAAAACACTTATTTAGGTTTTCAGTGACTGTGCTTCCTTCGTTTGATTAGAGTACTCATAATCACTGTGATCATGGGCTTCGCGACTGTTTTGTAACGAATTATATTCATTGTGACTCTGATAACTTCACATTCGGCATATAATAGGCATATATTTGAAATCAGCGTTTCAAGGGAAGTCCGACATAGTTTTTTGGAATTGGCTGGGTTATTCTGACCATTTTCTCGTCAGTCATACAATCCCAAGATTTTTTGAATGAATATACCCTTCAGCCTATTCCAGTATGCTCAAAAAGCCCTGTTTGCGAATAAAATGAGCATGACTGCCTTATCTATGCGATGTGCTCCCACTATCTTCAAACGCAACAACTACTGATAAAAACGCGAATACACTAACATTCATAGTCTACGTAAGCTAATTCTTTACCTATCCCTCCAGGCTTTCTCAGAAAGTTTAAGTATGTATTTTTAGATTATGTCTATTTCTTCCATGTCAACGATGAATGGCAATGAATTGAGGCCTTTGCGACGACAAAGGTATGGATAAGTTGAATATAATGGATGCCTAAAGGATTGGAAATATTTCATTTGCTTGCTTCAAGCTGACAAGACTAGATTTGGAAGTGCGAAACCAAAGAAAAAGTAGTAAGTAACGAAATGTTTTACCGATTTTGCGATCTACTGTGACGATCTATCCAATCGAAATTGTCATTGTAAGATAATCATGCTCTTTCGCTGATTTTTCCTTTGAAAAATGTATCACCGTCTTTGCAGGTAAGTACTTTTATAAAAGTGAATTATTACATTGATTTTTTTCATATTCCAAGCGCAGTTTTTATTTTATTTTGCTGAAGACATCAACCGAACCCGCATCAAGGAAAAAACTTTTACAGTTTGGTACATATCATTTAAAAGCAATTTTTTAAGTAAAACAAGTCGTTCTGAGCACGGAGCTTCAATTATTTCCGAGCAAGAGTTATGGCTAGGTGGAAACATTTTGCAAATACTAACAGATTTTAGAGTTTTTTCTATTCAAGATACTATTTTCCTGTTCTAGACCCTCAAGATTTTTTTCATATAATTTGCTGGTTTTTCGCATGATATGAAACTTTCATTCTGACCCGTGACCGTTAAAGGCAGCGTACACCCAAAACAAATGCAACAGATGTTGTAACAGCAACTGCAACTGCAATTGCAGCTTACGCTGTTATGGATTCGTCCGGAGGAGGCGGAGCGAAAGAAAAGGGGCGGCATGAAAGAAAATTGAGGGGGGTTTTCTCCGCTCAGAAGCAACATTGGGAGACCGGACCAACGCAGTTGGTCTTCGTCTGGGCCCAGTATATACACGGTGTAGAAAGATCTTGGAAATTCAGTAACTCAAATTTTGGGTGTACGCTGCCTTTAATCATGTGAAAATCTTGCATAGAAACCTATAGATCAAAAATTATCCGTGAAATTATACCAACATACAGTTTTTGCCAATTTTTTCCATTTTTTTATGTACTAGCAGTTTTAAAAAGGGGCAAAAACCGAATCTAAAGGTCAACTTCATAAGATATTTTGCTCCGCATTTTGCTCCAAATTTTTGATGAAATTACAGGGAGCCGACAATACAAGAACTATTCGCTCCACGCATCAGAGAGCGCGACTCAATATCACCTGATCAAGCACTCATACACATGATTAAGGTAGATCATTGAACTGTTTTGCAAGATAACGTAAAGAATTGTTGAGAGAAATTTCATTATTTCAAAATCTGAAAAGGAGATAGTTTGAAAATTAGAATTCTTACACAGTAATGAAAGCAAGTTTTGAAAGAAAGTTTTTTTTCAAGTTCTCAAATGGCCAAGCCTAAAACTGTTGTTGTTTTTTTTACAATTTTTTGATTTATGGAAGTTTAGGTGATGATGGGTACAGGAATGTTATCATTGCCATTAGCTTTCAAACACTCTGGACTTTGGGTGAGCAGTCGCCAAAGTTGTCAAGGCAACATTCACTATTCTTTTAGCTTGGCTTAGTCCTTTTGGCTGGGATCTGTTTGATATGCATATTTTGCACTCGGCAATTGGTCTTCGCTCAACACTACATTGGTTTTATGTAAATTTGAAAATTTAACAACGAAAATATTTTTCATGTAATTTTGGTTTAGAAAGCTCCAACCGCGGTTAGATTATGCGAATGTTATGAGATCAGCTGTAGAGCTAGGTCCACCATGGATCAGAGATCATGGATATTTCTGGAAGTAAGCTTGCTTCCTTAACAGATCTTTGGTTTTTAATTATACTGTATTTTCAGGCAAGTGGTTAATGTAAATATGTTTTTGGCACAATTTGGATTCTGTTGCGTGTATTTCGTTTTTATGGCTGACAACCTCAAGCAGGTGAGCTGTAACAAGCAGTTTAGCATAAGGCAATAAAACAAAATTTTTCTGCATTTGATGAATAACATATTTGCGAGAGACTAGTGGATCAAATTGATGGATGCAGTAAGCGGTTCATAACTATACGAACACCCCATATTTTAGAAGTTTCCGAAATTTTTGGAAGAATCCCAAAAACCCTTGGTACTACGTGAAAGAGCATAACCGAAAACGGTACACGCGGCACAAGAACGAAAATCGTTGTCAATCTTAGGATTGTTTGTGCGCCAAAGGCGAATTTGTGCGGTTCATAGTTATACGAACACCTAAAACGAAGTCCTTTTTTCACTCGAAACCAATCTTTCGAGTCAAAATTTTTGTTAAGTTACCGTAACAAAGTTTGGGATATCTGCTACACACTGTAACCATTCAAAAGGAGGAGCGTCACTTTTCTCAAACGGCTCAAAATGTTTGGGGTGTGCACTCGAAGACCGTCTATTTTGTGGAATAAATTAAGCTTTTTCGATGGAAATTTTATTTGACGCTTAGATATTCTCCGTGTTCTCGCCGAGTTTCTCGACCAAATTCCAACCCTACCCTAAAGTGAGCACAATTTCGAACAACAGCTCAGTTTTTGTTGTCCTATGCCAAGCTAAGCCCACAGTTTGTACAATTTCGGTAAATTTTGTGTTTAGCCAGAAAAGCTCTGCAAATCTGAGCGTTTCTTTTGAACACGATGACACTGTTGTAGAAATGGCTGGGTTTACTATTACAATCTCCCTTCCACTAGTCTTTTAGCCCCAAAGATTCAAGCTTGGTCGTGCAAAAGATCCAAATATTAGGCCGTTTCAAAAGTAATTTCTCTTTTTTCAAACGGACGCCACATTTGATGGAACAAAGTTTTTTTAGGAGATGTTGGTAGCATTCGATGCAGCATTTTATTCTCTTTCCAATGGTTATGAAAATGTTGCAAAACAGCCAATGAGCTTTTAGAAAGTAACCAAAATTTGCGACCCTTGCTTTTTGAGATGGTCAAGTTTCACGATTTTTTAAAACTTTCATATCAATCCTCAGAAGGAGTTCAAGTAACGATTCGATAGAGTGAACCTTATTGAATACAGTACTACTTTTTTCTCTTTCTCATAGCTCGCCGTAATTTTTTAAAAGATTTTTTAACAGAACCATCGGATTTTGGCAGGCCCCCCTCAACCACAATCGCATCAAACCTCATAATTTTTCGGAATTTGAGACTACCAAGGTGGTACAATGGGTTAGATTGATTTTACAAAGCAAGTGAGGGGTTACGGGTTCAAAATATCAAATTTCGAGTTTTTCGGGTGCAGCCTGGGGCTCGCTAAAAAAATGAGTTGTGATGATTTTCTCCCCGGAAGCTAAACGAGTCGGAAAAAAATAAACACCCATTAGAAAGAGGAGAAAAAGCTGCAGCGAATGACTCCCGAGCTACTCACCGTTTTGATGTTCTACGAGGATTTAGCTGTCCAAGTATGGAAATCGGCAGCATCAGTTAAAATTCTATTAAAAATGTATGACAAGCTATGGAAAGGAGAAAAAAGTAGTTTTGCATTCTGTAGGGTTTGCTCTATAAAGGCTTTACTTGCACTTTTTCGGAGGGTTGATATGAAAGTTTTAAAAAATTGCGAAACTTGACCATCTCGAAAAGCATAGGTCGCAGATTTAAATTACTCTCTAAACGCTCATTGGCTGTTTTGCAACATTTTCATAACCATTAGAAAGAGAATGAAATGCTGCATCGAATGCTTCCATCTCTTAGAAACCTTTGTTCCGCCATATGTGGTGCCCGTTTGAAAAAAGCGAAATTACTTTTGAAACGACCTAATACTTCAACCGGATACATCAGCGTACAAGCAATGCACTTTTCTCAGCGCAATTCTTTGTGTGTGACAACAGCTGTTTTTTTCGGGCTCGAAATTGTCCTGACTTTAGGGTAAGCTTGGAGCTTGCTTGGAAAACGCGCCGGGTTCACAGGGTTTTCTTAAGCGTCAAACACAATATCTGTAGAAAAAGCTTGATCTGTTTCATAGCATCGGCAGAAGCTAATTAGAGTGCACGAACAGCAGATAAACAGGGGTTTGAAAGCACTGACTCCAAGAGCATTTTGAGCAAATAAGAACAGTAACGTTCCTCCTTTGTAACTACGCTGGGTATAGTATGTAGCAGATATATCATGCTTTGTTACTGTAAATTTACAAAAAATTTTGACTCGAAAGGTTGCAGTTTTGAGTTATAAAAAGAGCTTTATTTGGGGTGTTCGTTTAATTATGAACCACTAAAAATTCGCTTTCAGCGCAAAAACATTCCTAAGATTAACACCGATTTTCATTCCTGTGCCGCATGTGCCGTTTTCGGCTATGCTCTGTCACGTAGCACCAAGGATTTTTGGAGTTTCTTTTAAAAAGGTCCCGAAGCTTTTAAAATATGATGTGTTCATGTAGTTATGAACCGCACTATATTTGACTAACGATGCTATTGCTTGCAACTCAGCAAACCTTTGCAAGATCGAGATGTTTGCAAATTTATAAGTGGTGCAAAATGTCCTCCATTCTTTGCAGAATCCAAGTTTTCGCGCAATAATACAGTGCAAAAACACTATTTTTGAATGCAATTTTCTATATAGGTTAGAACTTTGTCTTTACTCTTCCCAATGGAATGGCAAAAGGGCATCAACTTTGTTCCATTTTTAATGAAACATGTGATCGAGGGCAAGCTATGGACGAAATTGATGCTAATTCCAAACTTAGCACACGAATAACTTTTATTGTACTGCTAGTCAGCATGTCCGCAGCAATCTGCCATTAGATAATCAAAAGCGAAAGCAAGAGCATCTGTTGCGAACTAATTGATGAGAAATGAAGTGCATCAAAATTTTTCCACATGTGAGGGACCGAATTTCAATGTTGATTACAAGAATTTGATTGTTTCTTTTCTTTCCCAGTTTTTCGACCAAACATCAAATATCCACATTTCTCAAGCAGGATGGATTGCTCTGCTGCTTGTTCCACTCATGGCATTGTGCACGATTCGCGAGCTGAAGGTAAGAGAGGCTAAGATAATTTATATTTTGATCTTAGCCTTTGAGATAAAGAAGAAGGCAAGAGGCCTACAAAAATGTTTCCGTATACCGCACAACAATTTATGATCAATATTGCTCTCTTACAATATAGCAAGCTAATTTCATAAAAAACGGGCAAAAAGTAGTTAAGGACACATGAATTTCTAAGCTTTCCTTCATTAATTGTTTAACTGCTCTAAATACGTATAGCACAAATAGAACGAAACGAGTGTGATAAGCAAATATAGTATTATTTCCATAATGGTTATGCTGGGTCATCTGCTAAAACATGCAGATTTCTTCCCTATTGTTTTGATTTTCGGCTAGAGGAAAACCATTATGAGAACAATTAATCTTCTACAGCTTATACAAACATTTCTCATTTCTCCTTTTGCCAGTTCCAGCAATAATTTTTCAAAACGTTCAATCTTGAAGTCCTAGTTATCTACTTGATAAAGCCGGTAATATCTTACAGTAACCTTAGGGAACGGCCATAGGTTGTCGGTGTTGTCGATGTTGTCGGGGTTGCCGAGGTTGCCGGTCGTTGTAGGACCTCATGATAGCCTCCACGTTTCGCGCGCTCTCTAAACTGTCTCTGACCCCGACAACTCCGACAACACCGACAACTCCGACAACATCGACAACACCGACAACACTGACAACACCGACAACATCGACAACACCGACAACACCGACAACATCGACAACCTATGGCCGTTCCCATACTGTTAGATTGGTATGAATAAAACAGCTAATTTGACATCAATTGTAACACTAAGTTCATTGAAGAGTTCAAGCGAGGCACATTGTACAATGCTACCGTATAACTCACTGCTTTACTTCCGTTTTTAGGTCATTTTGGCTCATTAGCAAAATTAGCTTAGCTTTTTGCTACATTTCATTAGTACTTGGCCTGAAAAGGCTCATTTGCTAGAACTTTTTTACTTTGACTGTACTACATTAGCGAAAAACTTATGAACTCGCTCTCTCAATTTCACACAGTTTGTAAGCACTAACCCAGAAAATTATTGAACATGAAATTGAGAGTTGTAATACACATGCAGTACAATTGTCCTTGTTTTTTAGGCCTTAGCTCCATTAGCGGCGATAGCCAATGTGGTTTATCTAATTGCTGTGTGCATCGTTCTTGAACAATTGTTCCAAATTGAATGTCCAAGCTGGTCTTTACCGGCAGCTGCTGATTGGTCTACACTTCCACTGTTTTTCGGCACTGTCATGTTCGCATTTGAAGGAGTAGCAGTGGTAGATTTACAAAGGAACTAAATTTTCATCGGTTTTTGAAAGAACTATTTAGGTCCTTCCAATAGAAAATCAAATGGATGAGCCGCTTCATTTCATCACTAATAATGGAGTATTGAACACTTCATGTTTCCTCGTACTGATACTGTACATGACAGTAGGGTGAGCTAATTTTGTTTGTCTTGCACGATAGATCATAAGCGCATTTGCAGATTTTTTGGATACTTACGATTTGGAAACGATATCATGGACACATTAACTTTGAATTTGCCACAAACGAAGTAAGCCTAAGCACTTTTAAAAGAAATTTCTACAAATTACAGCCCGTAAAAAGTGCTATTCTCGCTACAATTAAGTGCCCATAGCAGTCTTTACTCCTGTCATTTATAGAAGCAATTTTCTCTACACTAAGCATTCAAGCTAAATTTGGAAATTTTTTCAATCAAACACGGGGACGAGATGTGATGGCGCTTTATTCCTGTATTAGGCAATCAATCTAATTTTGAAATGGTCATTAACCCCGGGACAAGATGTAATGGCACTTTACGCCTCTGATGTCACCAGTTTTTTTCTCCTCGTAACTTCCACCGTAATTTAATTGTTATAAAAGGTTAAAAATGACCAGGTAAACACGCTCTATAAAAAGTCTGATTTTAATGTAATTCGTGTAATTCTAAAGTGCATGCTCATGAAAAGGGAATGACTTTTGGCGAGTAACAATTAAGTTTTCATCGTACTTTTAGATCACTTCTAAGTGCACCTAATGACCCAAAAAATTTCGTTCGAGGAAGAGGGGAAGGGAGAGATGCGGGAATTTTTTTTTCAAGAGAAGGGCGCTCTATTATTCAGTTCCTTCAAGAAAATCTTTGGAATATCTTATATATAAAGCTGAATGTCTGTCTGTATGTATGTATGTCTGTCTGTATGTATGTCTGTACGTATGTGCGGAATAGAAATTTTTATTTCTGAACCGATCGGGACCAAACTTGGCACACATATACTTCGGGGCAGGGAGCGTGTCATAGGCTACTTTTCGTTATCGATCGATATCGATTTTATCGATTTTTTGCAAAATTCGAGCTAGAGGGCTGGGATTTGGCAGAGGGGGGTAATCGAGCATGCTGATCACCCCGGAGGGGGTGATCAGCATGCTCGATTACCCCCCTGTGCAAAATCCTAGCCCCCTAGCTCAAATTTTGCAAAAAATCGGTAAAATCGACATCGATCGATAACGAAAAGTGGACTATGACACGCTCCCTGCCCCGAAGTGTATGTGTGCAAAGTTCGGTCCCAATCGGTTCAGAAATAAAAATTTCTATTCGGAACATACGTACACGGGTCTAGCTGGCAGGCCCGGCGGAGCCGGGCAAGCCAGCTAGTATTTCCTAAAAAGCTGGCCCAACGGCAGATACCCTCGAGAGAATTTCTCTCAACTAATTCATACTTTCAGAGAATCTCAGAGCTATTTGAATTAGCTGGAAACCAAGTTTTCCAACTATCTCAATAGCTTTCTTCTTCCTCAACATGACGCACTCAAATTTTGCAATTATGTAGATTTTGACTTAAAATGTATATGTCGATTTTGACGTCAAACAGTCCTAATATGCGAAGTAGGAGAATTTTGAGGTCCCAACATTTCAGCCAATGACGTGGTCCCCCAGCAGTCTTGAGTACAGCGGCTCGTTCAACTTTGTGAGGCGTTAAATCTCGAGTTATTTTCAAATTTCATCTCTTTTTCAATGAGCTGAGTTAATTAGTCTTGGGCCTCGGACAGAGTTCACAAGAGTTCATCGTCGCGATTCATCAAGTGTTGTGAGTTCATTGCATGGCGAGGTTATGATAGTCAATCAGGATTAATCTTGTTGGAAAACTATCACAACCGAAATACAAGAAGATCGGCATGCAATGACATTGTTATAGTTGTCTTGTCGCAATCAACCGCGACGATAAAACACGTGAACTCTGCCCGAGGGTGGTTCAAGCACAATCTTCGATTATTGTGCTTGCTCTGGGCTGCTAACGGCTTCATTTTGGCTTACAACCCCGAAAACTCTCGAAATTCATTAGTTTTGGAAAAAAGCCTCGAATGTTTTAATTCGTGTTTAATAATTAAATATTTGTCAGCTGTACAACGCATTACGTTTTGCATATTGCTGAAGTTTAAGAGCGTAACATCCAAAGAGACTGAAGTTATGAATGAAGCTGCAAAAGTTAATTTTCAACCTAATACAAGTCTCATAACTCATATGAGTGACTTTCAAAAATTCTGCCGCCCATTTACACAGATGCACTAGGTAAAAGCGTTCAATTTAGAGGCATGATAGTTGGACTAATTTCTGTTTTCAGTTTCTACCAGGTAATAAAGTTGATGTTCGTGGCTTGCATTCTCGTCTCTTATCCTCTGCAATTTTACGTGCCACTGCAACGAATTGAGAAGTGGATAAAGCGCAAGGTATTGTTGCTTGCACTTTTTCGCATGTTCAGTGCCAGGTGTATGTGAATGAACTTTACGGTTTTTCTATTTCAGGTAGCTGTAGAACGTCAGGAAAAACTCATTTATGGTGCGCGAATGGCTGGTGTGATCTGCACTTGTAAGCTGTCAATTTCGCCTGTAAAAATATTTTCGTTAAAAACGTGTTTTTAGGCCTTGTTGCTGAGCTCATTCCACACTTGGCGCTATTCATTTCCTTAGTCGGATCCGTAGCAGGCACTTCACTAACGCTAGTGTTCCCTCCAATGATAGAACTGCTGTGTTATTACTCAAAGTACGTTTGTACTACTCCGACGCAAACAGCAATTTGCTTCCATTCAGAGACTCTCTGACACCATGGATTTGGATTCGGAACATTTCCTTGATGCTATTTGCCGTATTCGGATTTGCTACTGGCACTTACGCTAGTGTAGTGCAGATTGTTGAAGCATTCGGTAAACCTGACGTCTGAATCCAACTCAGGAAAAAAGCGATACTTGCTGCTGTGCAAAATGTGCATACTGAATACTTACAGTTGTGTAATCTCTGTCTCTGTGTGATAGCCTAGTCGTTGACATAGAAATTGTTATGTTGTCTGTTTTATCAGAAAAATTCTTAATGTAAACCCGCCCAACAGCTCATCTTTCCTCTCCGCAACCATTGCAGAGAGTGGACAAAATTTGGCAGAAAATTTGTCCTGTTACATGACGGTGTTTATACCAATCTCATAACTTCTTTCTTTCTCAACTTAGGTTACAGGATGTGTCAATGGCATGCTCCCTTTTCTGCAGGCGTGGATTTGCAATACCGCACCGCAATTCCTCTGAGCCACCTTCACGGGCGTATGACCTGGCGTTTTGCCAACTTCCGCTTGATGATATCTTTGAGGCTTATGTACTTCTTCTTTTTTCACAAACTTCTTTTTCATTGTTTCTTGCCTCGCGCATGCACGACGCGGATGCGCAGATGCTACGGAAAAGTGAGCTCGTCATTGACGCAGCCTTTGATTCACTTTTCCATAAGGAAAGCATTTCATTATTTGTTAATTTGGGGTAACTTTTCTTAAACCTCGGCACGAGGTGGCCTTGCAATTTTTTGGGAACAAATTCTCGTTGATTTCGCAAAAAAATTACGACATGACACGATCATGAAAGGACCAAGGAGAACATGAATACAAAGAAAAATAGAATAGAATACATAAACAATATCGAACAGACAACGAAAGAATGTGAAGTTTGTATTCTCTGAGTTGGCGGCATGCTGTGTCCGGCGCGCACCACCGCGCGCTTGGTATAGCCGCCATTCAAATTTGTGAAGGAATGAAACGCGGGAAGGAGGACATTTGAGGAGTTTGCAAAACTTATTTGTAGGGCTTTGAAGTATTAGGTTGTAACAAAATTAATGCAGGTTTTGAATTCCAACCGCAATAACTCATACACTTCTCATTTCTAAGTAGGTTGCAAAATACCAATCGATAGAGCAAAGCAATCTCTAAAAGGTGGCAATCTTGCTTCAGCAACAACTCTGATCCACCACGAGTTTCGAGCCAAAAACTAAAAAGATTCAACAGTCCGAAAAATTGAGAAAAATCGTAACTCAGTTCCTAAAAAACCTACAAAAATTCTAACTTGCTCACGTAAACACTATTCACATAAGACGTATATGTACGCAGTTGCCGGATTTTTTTCTCGGTTAGAAACCAAGAAAGCGAAGATTTTCATGCTTCTGCCAAAGTGTTGCTGTGCCGTTCCCACATAAGTAGTTGTATACTACAAATCTGTAGAAGTACAATCGTAAATTTTCAGCTCTCTACAAGCTTTAGTTCTCGAGAAATTTGAATTTTAGCTTGGACCATCTGACTAGGGAAAATTATATTCGATATAACTCGAGAACTAAAGCTTGTAGAGAGCTGAAAATTTGCGTCAGTACTTCTATAGGTCTGTAGTATACAGCTACCTATGTGGAAAGGGCACAGCATCACTTTGGCAAACGCACGAAAATTTCCGTTTTCTTGATTTCTAACAGAGAAAAAAATACGGCAAAGGCGTATATGGTCTTATGTGAATAGTGTTTACGTGAGCAAGTTAGAATTTTTGTAGGTTTTTTAGGAACTGAGTTACGATTTTTCTCAATTTTTCGGACAGTTGAATCTTTTTAGTTTTTGGCTCGAAACTCGTGGTGGATCAGAGTTGTTGCTGAAGCAAGATTGCCACCTTTTAGAGATTGCATTGCTCTATCGATTGGTATTTTGCAACCTACTTAGAAATGAGAAGTGTATGAGTTATTGCGGTTGGAATTCAAAACCTGCATTAATTCTGTTACAACCTAATACATCAAGTTTATGTAAAACTAGCTGGATTACCCGGCTCCGCCGTATGTTCCGAATAGAAAATTCCATTTCTCAACCGATCCGAACCAAACTTGGCACACATACACTTCGGGCCCCGGCGGGTGTCACAGTCCACTTTTCGTTATCGATTGATGCCGATTTTATCGATTTCCCCGTAGCTCAAACTTTGCAAAAAAATCGATAAAATCGATAAAAGTATGCACGATTTTAAAAACTAATATTGTATTCGGAATCCCCATGCTCACTTATCCCCCTGTGCCACATCTCAGCCCCGTAGCTCAAACTTTGCAAAAAAATCGATAAAATCGATAAAAGTAATGCACGATTTTAAAAACTAATATTGTATTCGGAATCCCCATGCTCACTTACCCCCCTGTGCCAACTCCCAGCCCCGTAGCTCAAATTTTGCAAAAAATCGATAAAATCGATATCGATCGATGACGAAAAGTAGCCTATGACACGCGCCGGGGCCCGAAGTATATGTGTGCCAAGTTTGGTCCGGATCGGTTCAGAAATGGAATTTTCTATTCGGAACATACGTACATACATACATACATACAGACAGACATACAGACAAACAGACATTCAGCTTTATATATAAGATGTATGAAAAAACTATGTGAAGAGATAATTCATAACTTCTTTGCTCTGAGCCACCGTATAATCGTCCTTGCTCCATTAGTCGCTCGATCGCTCGGTGATTGAATTCGAATTCAAAGTAGAGCAGGCCAGTTGCGGTAGAGCGGGGCTCCGCTAGTCCTAAAGCTTACGCGTGTTTTTGCTTCTTTCGTTGCAGGCTAATTTTGTGTTTTAACAATGTTCGTGATCAAATTTTGCGACTTCGTTGTTATTAACAATGTTTCATACATCTGTGCTCGTTTCACCAACTCTGCTTACAGGTAAGCTTGGAGAAATGGTTAAAATAGGAAATATTGTTAGTAAATTTTTGTTTGGTAAGCAGCATATACTGGAGTTTTGGCTTAGTCACAAAATCCTATCAGCATCATTTCTCCACGTTTCCTCTGAGTTTAGGAATTGAAGAAACGACAACAGTAGACAAAAGTATTATGAAACATCGCTCCGCAGAAATTTGTAATTCTCAGCTCAAAACCTCGTTGCAGTACAAAAAATCGTGTGAGACGAGGAAGAAAATGGAGGAAAACATGAGTGAGTTTGAACCGAGGGCTGCGGGTGCCATGCTTTATCGCAGCTGGCCTGCACTAATTCAAATTCGAATTCAAACACAAGCGACTAGTGGGGTGAGAACGATTATAGCTGTTTTTGGCCAGCTCTTTTAAGTTTTTCTTTTGCTCCATTAGTTCCATATAAAAATCGACATTAGATTGCCTCTCGTGATCAGAATTCTGGAAATTATCTATCTCTTTGAACTCCGAATTATGGACAAAGCCATTGGCGATTTGATTATATATACCATAATAAAACCAGTAGGGATCCATCAAACTTCGCCGAAAAAAGCCCGAAAGAGTCGGAACGCAGAATCGAAATTATGGTAGAATTCTGATGTTGACGTTATTTTGATGCGCGCAAGTAGAAAATGAAGCAAAAAGACTCGATTGCGAAATCAACACCATGCCTTGGCGTCAAAACAATAGGGCGTTCCGGTTCTTTCTGGCGCTTTTGGACTTTTACGGGCTTTTCGGGCTCTTTTGGGCGCTTTTGGGCTTTTTTCGGCGAAGTTCGACGGGTCCCTTACATGCTTTTTCATGGGCTCTGCTCCGGTCCCCGCAAAAATTATATCTCCTTTGCTTTTTTCCCAAAATGATATTCAGCTTGCACGTAAGTCACCTGTATCAAGCTCTGCCTTTTTTGAATCCTGACTTGACGTCGAGTTGCTTACAAAAGAAGATAAAGCTAAACGGCAATCAACCTTTTGAATTTTGAGTGTGGGGCAAAAAATAGGGTGCCGCTTACTGGAAAGCGAAGCAAGTTTGGTCGAAGTGGCCTATTTGGATGGAATGCATATGATATTAAAGGGCAAGAACAGCTAATTTCAAGTCTGCCTTCCAGGTTTGCGAAACATTTGTGGACGAGGAGTTATGAGCGTTATGGAGCGAAAAAATTGAATGTGCAGGTAAGACATGATAGTCGTATTCTTTTTTCAGCGCTTTGATAGAGCAGTGGTAATTAGCAGGCCTTCAATCAATCGATACTCTAAGGTAAAAAAATATCTCGCTTTATTGCTTAATTGAGAGCTAGTAAAATTTTGGCAACCCAATATTTCTTAGATCTTTTGATTTTTGCTTCAGTAAACGCTAATGTCTCCTTGTCCACAAACCTTCGGCAGATAAGGATTTGGAATCAGCGTTTTATGCTCTTCAATATCGTACACATCCCATCTCAAAGGGCGACTTTGAGTGAATATGCTTTCCTTGTGAGACCCAGATACTTGTAAACCGTTCACATGGGCATTTATGTTGCAGGCCACAAACACTACATGGTAAAATATAGCAGAAGGTAGTGACGACACTCCTCTCCATCAGCTTTGCAAATCAGAATGTCCCTTCACAATCTGCTTAATTATTGTGGCAGTCTAATATAACACTTTTTCTCATCCTATCCTCTAAACGCTTTCTCATTCAATATATTTCAAGGCTTCGATAGTTCCACACCTCTTGAGCTCAATAGTCATAACAACATTCGGACGGCATAACAACGATAAAATCTTTTCACATTATTTTTTACACGATCTGTCTCATTTGTGAGAAATCAAATAGAATGCACCAAAAGGAAAAGATTTTGGGTAGTTATGAATGGTGTTGAGCCTGAACAGAATACTATATTACACGTGAGTAAATCACTTATAAGATTGAGGAATAGTCAAATTTTCGTGACTCCAACGAAAATAATATACGTAAGCACTATACAAACTACTCTACCAACTGACGCGTACATGCCAAGATATGAACTAACGTAATTGAGATCTCTTACGATCAAACATCATTATAGTAAATTATTGTACCTAAAATTAGCACTAGCACACTACAAACGATATGCTATTTGACGTAATCTTGAGTCTATCCTGCTTCTAGATAAACTGGGTATGTGACTCCGTTTTGAGTCTGCGATGAGATTCGCTCCGTGACTAAACGAACTTCGTGGCCCTAGAATTATAATAATTAATTGGCCTAGATTTGTAGAAAGTGTTGCAAGTGTACGTTCAGACTAGCTCTGCGATCAGCAATTTCGTGGTCTCGATGTCATATTAACGAGTAAAATCGATAGCTACCGAGT